TTGACAGTTGGTGTCAGAAGTGGGATCAGAAAGGGTTAATTCCCCATGCCTCCCTCTCCAGTGTGACTCGAAGGAGCCCTTTGAGCTCTGCTCGATTTGAACTTGGAGAGTGGCAGTGGGTAATTTTCCTTCTCTGATTTCCAAGCTCCCATCTTTTGGTCCAGCTCTGTTGCCTTGGAGAACTGAAACTGGTTGTCACAACTGAAGAGAGGATTCATCAGTCTCTTCTTGATGAAGTCTTTTGGCTTATTGGATCAGGTACCTTTGTTTTTGTTTCCCTTTGGTTACAATAAGGGAAATTTGGTAATTAAGAGTGAACCTCCAACAAATACTTGGCTGCTGGACATACGCATTTAGTCCATTGAACAGATACTTGCAGGTTCTTAAGTAATTGGCATAATGTGACATTGTTGGTCAACTTGGGATTCTTTTCATCAGGTTTCAATAAATGGCTACTGGAAACCACCAAGTAAGAAGCCTTTTGTAACATGCATTCCCTTAAAAAAGTTTAGATAGAATCGTCCTGTCTATGTATCTACCTTATCATTTTTTGTCTATGTTTGTGTCTTTGTAAAATGTAAAATGGCTGTGTTGTGTTTATGTTGTTTGTGTATTCTACTACCTTTAAAGATTTAAAATATAGCCAGTCAGAAAAACTACTAAGGGCTCTAGCCAAAAAGTTTAGAACACTGGGAAAGATCAATGAACTTTCATAGTTGAAGCAACTGCCCCAGTAAGAAGGACCAACTTCAACCTTAGGCTTTCCTCAAGAAATTAGGTTATAAGAAAAGGAAAAAAAAGACAAAGAAAAGAGAAAGAGAAAAAGAAAAAAAAACATTCAAGACATTTTATTTCTTATCATTTCAACTTTGCCCATATTGGAATTACAGAAATAAAGTCAGATAATCTACATTTTTCACAGGCTGCCCAAAATCCTTTGGCATGGCAAGCTGCAGGCTGCAGGTTACACAGGCCAGCTATAGTAGAAAATGGCAAGTGCTGCAGTCTAGGAATTGCTGATGTCTGTGCCTGGGAAAAGTTTTGGGGACAACCTTGGTCTGGTCTAAGGTAGGATCTTCATGACTTTATCTCCCCATTGTGCAATTTCCTTTTTGAAAAGGAAATTTCCCACTTGGTTAAACTTGAGCCTTGCTTTTGATACCCTATGACTACATGGTCAGCTGTCAAATATTACTCATGCCTGGAATCAAACAGAGCTAAGGTAGTTTTTCCCCCTGTTAAGACAGACATTGTTATAACTATGTCCCTCTTTTTCTTTTTATAGCAAATTTCTACAATCAATATGTTCTATAAGTACAATACTAAATCTATTAAATAATAGATTGATTCTAGAACATCTCTGAGTTACTGTAAGATGCAAGTATGAACATCTTCCAATTTTAACCTGTATTTTTGGTCAAATTATAACATGGGGATCATAACCTAACGGGGAAATGATTAGACAAAGTAATCAGAGAGAGATGTAATGTGAAAGTTTTCTAAATAAATGGAATAGTAAAATGAGGATTAGACTGTTTTCTCTAACAACTATACCATGACAGCAGGGAGATGATGACATGACTTGGAACTGACTTTGATTTGAGTGAGGGAGGACTGTGCAAAGTCACCAGCCTCACTTTCTCCTCCAGAGCCATCTGAGTCCAGTGGTCAAAAATCAATCAGGATGACTGGAGATGGCCCAGGATGCAGTGGGAGACCTTGGCCTTTTTAAGATAAGGTCTTTCTGAGTAAGGCAATGCCCATTCAGTGAATAGGCCTCTTTAAGAAGTGAGTCAAGGGATGGTCTCCTTTAATCAAAAAATAAAGTAAAATAGAATAAAATAAAACTGGGAAGGGAAGACCTTCAGGGTTGCTGGTCAAAAAAAGAAACAGTAATGTAAAATGAATGTAAATAGTATGTTTTAGTAATAAGTTCTCAAAATTGGATTAAGGATTTTATATAGAAATTGTAGTGACAATGGAAAAGAAAGTGAAATTATATTCCCATTTTTAAAGTATCTGTCAGATAATTTTAAAAGGCAGAAGAGTTCAGCTTGTTTTGAACTCTCATAAATTTTTGAAAGATTCTTATATTAGGTACAGGATTTAGGTAAGGATAGAAACAGCAAATGGTATATAAACTGAAATTCTATGAAGTTTCAAAATTGAAGAACCAAATTTAAGTGATTGTACTAAATTATATTAAGTCAGAATTATGTAGGAACCTCTAGATTTGGAACCAGAGAAGCAGAGCCCCCTTTAGAGCTGTCCTGAGAATAAAGCCTATTGTCCAAGAAAATAAATCTAGGGACTAGATGACTACATGAGACATCTGGGACTCAAAATATGTTGGTTAAATGGATATTGAGAATGGGTTACTAGGATACAAGGAGACTTAATGTTAATTAATATTGGTGATAATTACTGTATTGCTTTGCATGGTTTATGTTCAAGTTTTCTTGGTTACCTTGGTGACATGTGAATCTCTCTGCTCAAAACTAGTCCACCATGAGCCCTCTAGGTAGTTTTATCTGTAACCTGACGTTAATGAAATGTTATTTAATGTAATTATGATTAGGAATTTATGGAAAACTTTATTGCATTGTTTGAACCTAGCCCTCCATGACTGGGAAACTGGACCATCTCTATATGTTGTTTAGAGACCTTCAACCCAGGATGTATGTTATGCTGACCAGAAACTCAGATCCAAAGACTGATGGCAAGGAGTTTTCTCACAATTACACATCTCAAGCAACCCATATGTCGTCTGAAAACTAGCCCTGTACTGATCAATCAATCATTGTTTCTAAGGGCCCCAACTAGGTCCTTCTCACTACTCCCATAGCTGTCAAACTCATGGGTGAGGACTCCTGCATCATCTGAAGAAAGCCCCTGCTCCTGAATGGACCAGACAATCCTCCAGGGACCTCAAGACTCATCTAGTATGGACCCAGAAGCAGCTGACATCCAAATGAGACAGCTATCCCAAGATTCTGGACAAGAGCTGGGTATATATATTGTCCTAATTTTTTTCCCTTTTCCTTTTCCTTTTTGTTATGTGCCTGACCATCAAGGCCCTGATTCAAGCATGTACTGGCATACTCTCTCTCTCTACCTTCTTGGCTCTCCTACCTGGGATACACTTCCCAATAGGTCACCTCAAGGAACTAACCTCCTGGGATAAAAATGCCATTCCATCATTGCTAAGGGTAAGGGGCTAACAAATTGTTACATCTGCTACCTCAACCCCTAAGTTCACCAACCTAAGCCTACAGCTGTCCCTCAACTCAACACCTCATCCTGGCCCAACTGGCCTCTCCTGACATCTTGGCTTATACCTGCTTCTTCTTTATTGACCAGAAGGACAGGGGCTCTTTTCGACCCTCTCCCTTCGGCCAAAAGGGGGAAATGTGAGGATCCCTATGCCAAGACTACCCCTTCTCTTTTTACTATTAGGAAACACCCTGTTTTCCAGAGTTAAGGCCCAGCAAACAAGCTGTGTCCTGAGTTTGATGATCACCCTCTGGATGATCTCAGCCACAGCAAAATCCCAGAATTGTCTCTGAGCTTGGACAAGCACCTGTAGTATCCATGTTCTGGTCACGGAGTCCTGCTATGAATCAAACTTGTCTCAGTGTTGCTGTGTGTAGCTATTGGTGTTGCAGTAAGTATTGAGATTTGTCCCCACTAAAGCGGATCTCCTACTATGGGGGGTCCTGGCACATATATGTCTAGTTTTCTTCCTCCAACAGAATGAATAAAGTTTCTTCCTTATAACCACTGTCAGCTCTTTGGTTTTATTTTGTTTTGTTTTGTTTTATTTTTAGAGTTAACTGTGGTTTTGATAACCTGTATTACGCTTCTGTTTTGTTTGTTTTTAAGAATTAACATCAGTTGCAGAGCTGCTGTGGCTCTTTGGTCATTTGGTCAGGGTTGACGGTGGCCAAAGTAATAAAAGAAAAGAATCTCCCAAATCTTGAAGATTCACTGATTATGATAGAGAGAAAAAGGGCCAGAAATATAACAACCCCACATTCAGGTTACGGGCTTGGGAAAGATTTCTGCTGAAAGCCACCTCTGGGAGGCCAAATTTGGGCCCTTGGGTTTCTCCTAATGTTTCAAAATGCTATAATGTAAACCACTCATTATTCAACTGGGAGGCAACAGATTTTTTGGGGAGGGGGGTAAGAAGGAGATGGGGGTGGGGTTGTAACCTACAATACAGAGGCCAAGTGAGTTGGATGGAAGAAATAAGCTATAACCCAGATACAAGGCCCAGAAGACCACAGTGTTACATAGATGCAAAGATGCAGCTCTATAAAATATGTGTAAAAGGGAGAGACAAGGTGTAACCCCAACATGGGGGGTTGGGGCAGAATGACAGTGGAATAGAGGGGCAGGGCAAGACAGAATGTGACCCTAGGATTCCAGGAGAGAGGCAGAAAGGAAAACAAAAACAAAAGAACCACCATAGGGGCAAGAAAAGAAAGAATAACAGCATTTATGCATCTCTGTAAGATTTAAAAAACGCTTTACAAATATTATCTCGCTGTATCCTCACTGAACAGCCCTGGAAGGTAAGCGCTATTGTTATCCCCATTTTACAGATGGGGCAGACTGAGGTGAAGTGACTTGCCCAAGTGTCTAAGGCTGGATTTGAACTCGGGTCTTCATGACTCCACAACTGAGAGGGTGGCGCGGGGGGGGGGGGGGGGGGGGGGGGTAGAGAAAGAGTGTGAGCCCAGGACAAGGGTGGGTACAGAATGTGACCCCAGGATGCGGGGCAAAGGACAGCTAAAAGGGAAACCAGCAAGGGGGGCGAGGTAAAGCTGGACCCCAGCCTGGAGTAGGAGGAAAGAAGGGACCCTGGGGTGGGGGTTGGAGAATGACTCAAGTCTGAGGGACGTGGGGGCGGAAGCAGTGCTCCGACCCGAGCCCCAAGGGGAATGGCGGTGGGGGCTGACAGCCGGGGTCAGAGGTGGGTCAGAGGTCACACTCACTGTACTCCTCGGTCCGCATCAGGGGCCGGAAATAGATGGGGTAGAAGGCGGCGCCCAGGAGGAAGGCGAAGCCACCGAAAATCATCGCCGTGCGCAGGTTGTGAGACATGACCCGAGCTCGGGACTCCCCACACAGATCACCGACCCAGGACCCCCAGCCGCGCTCGCAGCAGACGCGAGGCACCGGAAGTGAGGGTGGGAAGAGGCTTTCACTTCCGGAGTGCGGGGCAGGGAGGAGGGAGGAGCGTTGTGGAGGCGGGAGGAGGGAAGAGGAGGGGAGGGAGAGGGGATGGTGAAGGGTGCGGGGTTGGGGGATAGCTGAGCAGGCTCGTGCTCCTCCCTCCCCATCCTGCCCCGGCTCGCGACTGGGCCCTGGGGCCCAGATTTGTGTCCAGTGGAAGGGTGTTTGAGGTCTGGGCGGCCTAGAGCGAGTCACGTGACTGCCCATCTGTGGAATGAGGGGGTTGGTGGGAGAGGGCGGTCAGCTCACCTACGGACAACGACACTCACCGGGTCTCCAGTGTGGGGTTCAAACCCGAGTCCTCTGCCCTGCGGATCCGAGGGCAGTATTCTGACACCACACCACACATTCAAGGGCGGCATATTAAGCACCTACTCTAGAAAATGAATTGTTAGCTCTGGAGGATAGAAAGATGAATGTGACAAGACGTCCATCCGCCCCTGACCTTCGTCCCTCCTCATGTTCAACTTTCTGCACATTCTGTGCTTCAGCTCATAGACTCATAATAGGTTAAAACTCATCTGATATAATTCCCTCTATCCATCTTTTTCTACCTCATCACTCTCCATCTACTTTATTGACTGTGACCCAGTTCATCTCTTATGCTCATTTCAGTTCATTTATGTCCACTTAGATTGTAAGCTCCTTGAGGGCAGGAACTATCTTTTACCTATTTTTTGTATCCCCAGCATTTTGCACAGTGCCTGGCACATAATAGGCACTTAATAAATGTTTATGGATTGATTGATTGTATGTTTACTTAGAGAATAATGGAAAAAATATGTCTGTGTATGTGTGTGTATATACATATATACATGTATATGTTATATATGAAATATTTAATTACATAGCTAAATATATGAACATTTCAAAGATTGTTATTTAATAGGCATGAACTCTACCCCTGCGTGGATTGCAATTCTTGTACAACTTAGTAGATAGTCTATTAAAGTTGCTATTAAAGTCCAATCTGGTAAAGAGCTTCCCTAATTATCGTTAGACTGGTCCTCAAGACAGTTTATATGTACTCTGTCACTAGGCCTATACTCAAAAACTTTTCTAGCATGGTAGAACCTATCTGAGTTTCCTAATAAGCATAACCTTCAAGAACCTAGGTTCACCCTCTATACCACAATGAAGCATTGGAGCAGGGCTTTATGGGGAATATGTATGTACACACATGAACGTATGTGTACATGTGTGTATGTGCATATGTGTGATGTATATCACATATACACACATACATCGGCAGAATTTCATTCCAATGTGTAATTGTTGTACAGAGGTGACCCTTAGCTATTAAAAGCTCTGCCAGCAACATATCTATGGCAGAAAAGGCTTTGATAATAGTCCTGATAACAGCAGATTATGCCTACTTTCTAAGGATCAGTCTAGCTATATATAGAGACACTCATCAGTGGCTAGTAGGCTGGCCATTAGGTAATGAATTTTTTGACTATAGCAACCCATGAAACAGAAAAAAACAGTGACCTGAGCTCCGTCTTCTGAGGCCTGGTTCTGCTTCTGTAGTGCCTGTAGCAGAATTGCATAAAAAGAAGTAGAGAGGGTATTAAGAATCACACAGCTTTTAGGCCTTTGCATAGCTCTAAAATGTGAGATCTTTGTAGATGAATAGACATATTTTTGGAAGTAACGGAGTTATATCAGTACTGACAGGTATAATAGCCACATCTATAGAAGACTGAAAAAAGAAAGTTCTTGTCACCAGAGTCCTTGGCACTATCAAAGTTCTGATGTTCAACATCAGAAACTGATATGATTTCAACAGTGTAAATGACATTTTTTAAAAAGAGGCATTACTATCTGCTTTGCCACTGTACCGTAAGTACCATTAAACTTTTCCATCTGAATTGCAACTGAAACCTTCCATAAGTATTGTCTCCCTCAGAATGTGAGCAGATGGTCTTCCTTTTTCCATTTATATCTCTAGTGCTTAGCACAGTGCTTTGCACATAGTGAGCATTTAATAAATGCTTCATTTATTCATTCATTTTCCTTCCCTAAGTAATCAATAGCTGGCACCACAAGAGAATCAAACATTCTGTTGAAGTACTTTGACACCCTCTAAGAAAGATACTGAAAGATGGACACATGGCAGCACCTCCCTCAATCAATAAATCAATCAACAAACATATATTAAACACATGCTATGTTCTAGATACTTTTAGGCTTTGTTAGTGAATGGGAAAACAAAAGTGGGACAGTCTTTGCTTGCCCTTAAGGACTTTACATTCTATTAGGAGGATACTATATTTTTAAAGCCAAGTAAATGCAAGATACAACAAAATAAATACATTGCCTTGGGAGGAAGGACTCTAACAATTAGAAGAATAAACAATAAGGTGAATGAGGTGATATATGAGCTGAACCTGAAAGAAGCTAGGGCTTCCTAGATCTAAAGGTGAGAAGAAGGCATTTCAGGAATGGGGAACAGCCTGTGCAAAGACACCGAGGGAGGAGATGGAATGTCATGTCACGTGGAGGGAACAGCACGTAGGCCAGTCTGACAGAAGCACAGAATGTGGGATGAGAAGCCATGAGTAATCAGCTTGGAAACACAGGATGGAGCCAGACCAAATGTGTTTTAAAGGCCAAATGGAGAAGTTTATATCTGATCCTAAAGGCCAGGGGAGCTGCTAAAACTTCTTAAGCAGAAGAGCAAAATGGTCAGACTTGTCTATGCTTTAGAAATATGTGGAAAATTGATTGTCAAGGGAAGAGACTAGATGGAGGGAGACCAGTTAGGTGACTTAATGAAAGATCCATAGTTTCTCTGTCTCCTTCAAGCTAATCCTAATCTAGAGGTTTAAACATTATAAACAAAACAAGCAGGCTAACAATATCACCAGTACAGATTGTCATCATCACTATAAAGCCTTTACTAAACATTTGACTATTCAGTAGCCTTACAAAATGCACAATTATCCTTCAGATTTCAAGATGCTTTACTCCTAACCTCTACGTTCTCTTTCAGTATCTCCTCACTACACACACACACACACACACACACACACACACACACACAGTCTCTCGCTGCCTTTGGAACCCTTTTTCTTATCCACTTGTCACCTCTGATCATCTATCTATCTTGTAGAGGTGCCATAGTCTGATGTCAGCGTGTTTGTATCTTCTAAAAATGTCTTAATTGCGGTTGAGTCTTCATAACAACAATGGATTTCAAGGAAGCCTTAGAAAAGTTTGGTATTAAGACCAGTGGGACGTGGGAAAAACCATACCCAAATGACAGAATGTTCTTGCAGTCCAGATGCCTAAGTACATGATTTTCATCTCAATCACTGTGGAAAAGTCAGTCTGTGCTCCTAGCAGGCACTTTCTCTTTCCTTGTAAGTGAAAATGTGAGTGCTTGTAGGGAGTCAGAGCTCTAATGGCATATCACACAGGGTTCAGACGGACATCAAAGTTAATCCACCCTCTTATCTGGGCAAAATAGTAACTGGATTTTCTTGACACTGCAGCACTACTGATGTGACACTGAAGCAGGGCTGATCTTTTTATTTTTTAAATAATAAAATTAAGGATTCACAAGGAGCATCATTAATATCTTTGGGTAAGTTTGGAGACCTAGGGTGAAATAAGATGGGACAAATTTAGATTACTATGAGTCAGTGGTGAATAGCCTCCAACTATTAATGAGAATCACTAGTAGAGTTAAGCAATATGTGGGTGTACCATGGACTGGTCAGTAGGCAGGTGAGGAAAAAAGGATGGAGAAAAAAAATAAAAACCAAAAGAAGAAAGAGAAAGGCAAGACACTGAGTGGAAGACCAGTGAGGCCCACTTGCTTTGAGGGTTATTAAGTACCAACAATACAAGTCGTCTCCGATTCCATACCTCATCTAGAGTGAAATAGTTGGAATAGTGTGTGGTGTTTGATAAATCTGACATTCTTTCCCATTCTTTATTGCAGAGGTAGAGGGCCATAGACATGGAATATTGCATGTACTGTTAGGGTTGTTATATTGCTACTTTTGCCAAACTATTTTTTTCTCTTTTTAATATTTTAATGTTAGTACCTACCAATTCTTAGGCCCACATGCCCCTCCTCCAGTCCTTCTAAGAGTCAGCACATGTGTTGAGGTGTGGAAGCAAGGGAATGTCCGGACACTGAGAATTATAGGAAGAGTTTGACTTAGGAATTGATCACTAAATTAAACTGCAGCTACTAAGCAGCTACTAAGCTTGCTAGGTTGGGGGAAGAGATATATTCAGAACTGAATGTGATATAAAAACAAAAGACATCAATAAAAATAAATACATCTGATATGCTAGCTGTTTATAACTTCCATTTAGAAGTAATTAGTGAATCCATATGCCATAAGAGAAACACTTTTACAATACTTCCAATTTTCTTTTTAAGAAGATAAGCAGTAGAGATTTGTGGCCCTGCATATTAGAAAATCCATGCAGATTTGAGACCTGGATTTCTGAATTTCTGGACCAATTTTATTTGCTGTTTAAAGCCCATTCACAACTTGGTCCCAACTTGTCTTTCTGGTTTCATAATGCATTATTCCATTCCCTTACTCTAAGATCCAGCCAAACTGACCTTGTCTTGGCCTCTCCTGTCTCTGTATTTTTGTACTGTCTGTTCCGCATGCCTGGGATGCCCTCCTTCCTCATCTTTGTCTCAGAGGTGCCTTATCTTCTTCCAGGACGTGATCTAGCACCACATGAAACCTTTTTTTTTTTTTTTTTTGCCTTTTGGGTGAGGCAATTAGGGTTAAGTGACTTGTCCAGGGTCACACAACTAGTAAGTGTCAAGTGTCTGAGGCCAGATTTGAACTCAGGTCCTCCTGACTCCAAGGTTGGAGTTCTATCCAATGTGCCACCTAGCTGCCCCTTGAAGTCTTTCTTGATCTCACCTGCTTGCTAGTACTCTCTTTCCCTATCTTATACTTAATTACCTTGAAT